TATGTTCACATTAGGTAATGAGCCAAATTGGATCAAGACTAGCTCATTCTAAGATTCTGACCTCTTCAAAGGTTCTGAACTGCTTTAAAAAATTTGGCCCCTCTTTATTTCCATGGGAGCAGCCAACTTAATTTTTGTTGGCTTGGTCTATTCTGCTATCATCGTTTTGAACAACCCTTCTTCCATTCCAACTAAACCATCTACTTGGCTTACTGAATCTTCAAACTCATAATCACTTTTGCAAGACTGGCATTTTCTTTGGTTGTTAAATTCAGCATAAACTCTAGCCGATTGTTCTCTTTTCTTTCGAGCACGATTATATTTTACATGCTCCTTATTAATTCTTCTTTCTCTACCAACCCTTCTTCTGGGTATTACCTTGATAGAGTCTTGGAGTTCTTTCTAGCACTTGGTATGAATTTTCCTCCTTTGAGATCTGGAGAGGATAGGCACCAAATCTGGTTGCTTGCTCTTTGGGTTCTTCAACATCACCCATTGGTCAGGCACAACAGAAGGTTACCTTACCATTTTTGGTTTCTGATCTTCCTTAGCTTCCACTGGAATGACCTAGGGTCTGGTCTACATAACAAACCAATCAGACAACCCTTGAACCCAATAGTATACTTGCCTGTGAGGAGGGCTAGAAGTGCTAGCCTTCAAGGGTCCAACTTCTAGACTTCTCTTAAACCTCCTTTCCCTATGAGACTAGAAAAGTAAGTCTGCTTGTGAATCTCGGTGACTCCTACTCCTGAATGAGCCTCTAGTGCCCTTACCTCTGGTCCAAGATGTCTTTTCATAAAAGGACACTGGATCATATGGAGCATAGTTTCGTTCCTACATGCCACTAAATGTTTGAACCACATGACTTGAATTATTACTCATATTCTCAACCTTCTCAGGGACTCCAGTCATCCATTGTAGCTGACTATGCATTTGGGGCTAATTCTTTGTACAATTGATGTCTCTAAAGAACATGCAGTTACTGAGTAATAAAACTGTTTTTGGCCATGTGAAATGCCAACATGTTTTGATTTCTGAGATGGATTATGTTCCTTCAAAGCTATCTCCTGCTTTATTTCATTCATCTAAACCTCTCTCCAATGCCTGGATGATAGAATTTGGAACCGCAACATTGGCTTACACTTCATGCACCTCTGGAAAGAGATCTTTGTCAAGCCCTATTGCCTTCTCAACCTTGCCCTTCCAGATCCGCTCCTAAATCCTGTCTTGAAATAAATATAGTTTTTAGTTAAATGAGACCAAGTGTTATGTCATTTACAATATATTTTACCCTTCAATTCATCTAAAAGGGGCATAACCACTCCTTTCAATAGTTTTAAAAATTGTGTTGCCAACAAATGATCAAATATTTCATCAACTTTAGATATATCTCAAAAATATTTTGTATTAAATTTTTTGTTTTTAAACTGATAATCAATTGTAGTTTCCTTCTTAATTAAGGTGTCACATGTATAAGGTTATTTGCCTACAATCTTTGCAACATTAATTTCCAAATTAGGATCTTTATAATAAGTCCAATGTGAAGAGTTATTCATAGAGTTTCATACCTAGTCACTTTATACAATAAATCAACTAGGTCTCTGAAGTCCGTTGCATCAAACTTATATGTGAATTTTAGACCATTCTGAGCCAATCTAACAAATTCAGGCTCTGGAAGGACTACCCTGCACCTATTCTTAGCCCTTATAAATCTAACTATGAATTGGGCAGCCTTCTCCACTAGTCTTTGGCTCAATCTTGGTAGGTCGTCTATTGAGACTTTTGGTTTAGTTTGGAAGAACTGGGCATGGAACATTTCTTCCATTTGTTGCCAAGTTTGGATAGTACCAGGAAGTAGGACAATATACCAAGCAAGTACTAGACCAATTAATGAACTAGGGAATAATTGAAGCTTCATGTAATCATGATTTCTATATTTCCCACTTTTCCTTGTGAACCTAGCAATATGTTCTATGGTTGATCGATTCCCACCCCCTCGAAACAAAGTGAAATCTGGGACTTTATAGCCCTTTGGGAACTCATGCAACCTATCCATCCAATCAGGATAAGGCTTTCTGTATACTAGTGTTTGCACCCCCCGAGCCATAGGACCACATATTTCTTACACCATGTTCAACAATTGTTCTCTAGGAATGGCATTTGGAATAGTAGATTGGGCCACCACTTGGGTACTAGGACCTGTTATTGTTCATACCCTTGATAGATTTGTTATCTATGAGCATGGGGGTTACATATTTGGCACTGGCTGAACAAAAGATGCAGTCATTTGATCCATAGGGTACACAGTAGGGTTTGGTGGTTGTTCATATCCTATTACATCTTCTTCCCTAAGAGCAATAGGTGGTGGTCTAAAAGGCTCTGCCAACCCCCCCTCCCCCCCGAGTGTAGGTTCAAAAACTAGATGTGACACCATTCTAGTAGTATTATTCATTTGTGCTTGTGTATATCCATAGGTAGGATTACTAGGTGCACTCGAAGGTATAACCTGAGGCTCTACATGCACAACATTTGTCTCTTTAGTAGTAGACAATCTACGATAAGTCCCTGAACCAGTTGGTGGAGCTGGTCTAATAGGCTGATAAAAAGATTGTGTGGTTCTTTCCTTACTGTCACCATTGCTTTAGTTGTTGGTAAAAGATGGCCTAGGTTGGGTTATTACTTGAACAGGATTCTTATGTCCATCATTTGGAATAAGACCTACATTTTCTTACCTGTTATCAATCTTTTGAATGATTGATACACCAAAAGAATGAGACCAATTCCTAAAGGTTGTAGCCATTACTTGACTTACCATGGACACTATTCCAATCCATTGTTCATTTGACATGGTAGGACTAAATAATAATGGTTCACTTCTGATTCTACTACTTTGACCAAGTGTTTGGCCTTGGAAAGGTGTTTTTTTAAAAGATTGACCTTGTGGTTGGCCAATATGTTGAGGTTGTGTCTTAATCCTTGGATAAGGATTCTCTTCTACTTGTATTTGGCCATTTGCTTGTTGGCTAGAAGTAGAGGGAGGGTCTGCTACTTCTCTTCGAGGCAAAAAAACCCTCTTCTTGTATCTTAACATCAACGTCAACATCATTATCTAGATGTTCTTCTTCTTGGCGTCATGTTCTTACCATATCTCAACATAAAAAGTGTCTCATTGGATGTGCAAAAAAACTATATGTTGGCTATTTTGACACTTAGAAAGATAAAAATATAATTTTCTCGTGCCAGTAAGGATATGAAAAATCCTTATAGAATTTATAAGTCAATTTATTCATCAGGCAATTGTGATTAGGTTCTTTTAGCCTTAATGAAGAGGAAGTTATTGTTTGTGTTTTATTAAGAACCAATGCAACTTGAATTCGAAACAGAATGAGAGGAAGAGACTAGACAAAAAATGTAATTGATTAATTGAATAATGCAATTACAAAATGTTACCTTTAGTAAGGGCAACATTGAAGGTCAAATTATGAAAATACAAGAGTTACTTTAATCTACTCCTACGAAAAGTAAGTGCGATGCTGAAATTTAAAGATAAAAGAAATGGCAATTTATTTTCTAAAAGTTCAAGCAGGTTTCATTGCATTTCTCAAGTTTCAAATTGAAACGACTTGAGGGGCCATGGGACTAATTACGAGTTTCATTTTAATTTGAACTGTTTATTTTATAAGATGTATATCATTCGTGAAAAAATTAAGTTGATCCTATAATTATAATTTTTTTATTTTATTAAATTTGTCTAAAAAAAATAAACGACAAATATGTTTTTTAAAATAGACTATTTATTTTTTGTAGAGACAAATACAATAAAATAAAAAAGATACAATTTTCATATTAACTTAATTTTTTTTTTATAAATTATATATACGAATAATCTTACAAAATAAACTATTGATATTATCGAAATGGGACCATAAGAAGCCCCACGGCCCCTCAAATTAGCCCAATCCTTGTTATATTATATTGGGCACTCTTTCATTCACTGCCTATGATATCTCAAATCTTCATATAAATATCATTATTTTTATGTGAGTAATGATAGAATTCACACATAATAAATATTTGGTAAAAATATGGGCAAATTACAAACACCCCCCTCAAGGTTTGGTAAAAATACAGATTTCCCCCTGAGGTTTGAGAAATTACAAATTGCCCCCTGAGAGTCAAATTTTCATAACAAATTAGGAGAAATTAGGGGGGAATCTGTATGAAAATAAAAACCTCAGGGGGCAATTTGTTATGAAAATATAAACCTCAGGGGGTGGGATGTAATTTCTCAAACCTCAGGGGGGAATCTGTATTTTCATCAAACCTCAAGGGGGTGTTTGTAATTTGCCCTAAAAATATTTATAAATCTCTTGATGTTGTTAACATTTTTCTAAAAGTTCAAGCAGGTTTCATTGCATTAATATATAAACACACTTTGTAAATTAGGTTTCATTTTTTCTCAAGTTTCAAATTGAAACTTGACTTGAGGGGCCATAGGACTAATTACGAGTTTCATTTTAATGGCTTGAACTGTTTATTTTATAAGGTTTATATCATTCGTGAAAAAATTAAATTGGTCCTATAATTATAATTTTTTTATTTTATTAAATTTGTCTAAAAAAAATAAACGACAAATATGCTTTTTAAAATAGACTATTTATTTTTTGTAGTGACAATTACAATAAAATAAAATGTTACAATTTTCACATTAATTTAATTTTTTTAATATAAATAATATATACGAATAATCTTACAAAATAAACTATTGATATTATCGCAATGGGATGTAAGAAGCCCCACGGCCCCTCAAATTAGCCCAACCCTTGTTAATTATATTGCGCACTCTTTCATTTCTTTTTGCCACTCTCTGATAACTCAAATCTTCATATAAATATCATTATTTTTATGTGAGTAATGATAGGATTCACACCTGAGAGATATTTGGTAAAAATATTTATAAATCTCTTGATGTTGCTAGCATTTTTCTTTTTATCTTGCAGATCTACACTCGTTGCTTTTGTTCACAGGTACGAAGATCTATATCACTCTCTCTCAAAATTTATTTATGATGAAAAAAAAAATAAAAATGAATAAAAATATTATAAATCTATCTAAATAAAATACATGAAATTAACAGAAGATAATTTAGCTTACTGTAAATCTTTCTAACTTTATCTTGAACAATAGGAGAGACCACTAGACACAAAATAATGGGCAGATTGCCTTGTGATTTTAGAAATTATAAATATCAATAAAATTAATAATAAAATAAAATTTTTAATTATTTTTCTATAGAACAATAAAATTATCAGAATTGTTAATTGAAATATATTTATGTTTTCATTAAAAATTGTTAATTGACTTGATCAAACGGAAATGCAATTAGAAATTTGAAAAAACGAGATGTAGTTTTCAAAATTATAAGAAGTAATTTATATTTTAAAAAAATTTGAAGAGTTGTATTTGTAATTTACCCAAATTAGTAAGAAATTAATGTACAATTCTTAAATAAAAGGAAACAGGTAACTTTTGTCACTTTTTGGGATTCACTCACTTCTTTCTGTGTTCAAATGAACATTAATTATTCCTTCGTATAAAGAACTTACGCCAAATTCAATATGGCCTCCTTCATCCAACCTAAAGCAGGTTCTAACTTCCAATTTTCTCATACAGAACTAGGCCTCGCAGGAAGAGCTTTCTTTGGGATGCTATTTATGTTTGTGTTTTTAATCTATAAGTTTAGGAGAAGGCATTTGTCTATGTTCGACAACATTGAGGATTTTCTTCGAAGTCAGAACAATCTCATGCCGATTATGTACTCTTACTCAGACATTAAAAAGATGACTAAAGGTTTCAGGGATAAATTGGGTGAAGGAGGCTATGGTTGTGTGTATAAAGGAATGCTTCGAAGTGGCCATCCTGTAGCAATAAAGATATTGGATAAATCCAAAGCTAATGGGCAAGACTTTATCAATGAAGTTGCCACTATCGGAAGGATTCATCACATTAATGTGGTCAGGCTAATTGGTTTTTGTGTAGAGAGATCTAAGCGCGCTTTAGTATATGAGTTCATGCCTAATGGGTCTCTTGAAAAATACATTTTTTCTCAAGAAGGAAATGTCCACCTAAGTTGCACGCAAATGTACGAGATTTCTCTTGGAGTGGCTCGTGGGATTGAATATTTGCATCGAGGTTGTGACATCCAGATCTTACATTTTGACATCAAGCCTCATAACATTCTTCTTGACGAGAATTTCACTCCAAAACTTTCTGATTTTGGGCTCGCAAAATTGTATCCAACAAATGATAGCATTGTGTCACTGACTGCAGCAAGAGGAACAATGGGCTACATGGCTCCGGAGTTATTCTATAAGAACATTGGAGGCATTTCATATAAAGCTGATGTTTATAGTTTTGGAATGTTACTGATGGAAATGGCTGGCAGGAGGAGAAATTTGAATGTCTTTGCAGATCATACAAGCCAAATTTACTTTCCTTCGTGGGTCTATGACCAATCTAGAGAAGGGACGGAGATAGAGATGGGTCAGATCACCGAGGAGGAAAGAGCAATGGTAAAGAAAATGATAATAGTTGCTTTATGGTGCATACAAATGAATCCCAGTGACCGTCCTTCAATGAACAAAGTTGTAGAGATGCTTGAAGGGAATGTTGAACTCTTGCAAATGCCTCCCAAGCCTTCTTTGTGTCCACAAGCGATGCCAGTTGAAGATCATGAAATGGACATGGATCTTGCAGAGTTGCCTATGCTATCCTCCTTGTGATCGCATAAATTCCATCACTGTGGATGTGTTGCACCTCAAGTTGTTTCATATAAAAAATTTTGTGTTAGCAGGGAATTCTAACATCTCCCTCGTATAATTGAGGTAGTCTTATTCCAACACATGATTGGACAACTATGCCTCATTGAAATAAATTTGTGTGAAAACTTTTTATATGGTTGAGATGTCTCTCCATGTGTTGCATTTCAATTGCTTGAAGACTTTCTTAGTTAAATTTACATTCGTCACATTTTTGCAAAGATATTCTATGAGTTATAATGTTCACACCCCCCCCCCCCTAAAAAAAAAAAGCATATTTTATATAGAATGATATGATTGATATGTTGTCCCAATCACTTTAAAACAAAGAACTCATGAAGAGACATTTTAATTATGAAAGATAATAATAAAAATCACTGCCACATGATTCTCGTGAAAGATTGTACATACAAATTAGGTAAGAATGGGGCTTTTCCATTTCTATTCTGTGATACATATGGGTTTTTTATGTTTTATTAATTGTTATTTTGTAGGGATATTGCTTTGACACCATATGACAGCACATGAGCTTTGGATATAGTTTCTCAAACTCTTATTTCAAATGTGTATAGACAATGTATAAGATAAGCAAACAGCTTAACCTGCAATGCCATTTACTCGAAGTAGCTTGAATTAGGCTCATGTAAAAGATAACTAAATTATCAACTACACTTTAATCCGAAGTAGTAAGTTTCTGGAAAAAAATAACAATATTGTGTGTGTCAAAATTTGATCACACAACCAAATCGAATCCTCCTCCAAAGATTCTATGAACAAAGCCGAAGAGCATATACACTAGATGGAATCCACAACCTGAAACAAGGAACATAATAACTTATCTGGTTGTTCTCAATCGGGAGGGCACTTCGACGATCAAGTCAGTATCTCTCAGATAATCACTAAGTATCAACTCCAGCAAGCAATTAACACATAAATAAAAACATATATTTCACCCACGTGGGTGCCTTGTTTTATATAGAACTAGTGCCCACCTCATCCTATAAGTCATACTTCAAGCGGCCATGGCTCCCCTGCCTTGGCTCAATTGCTTTGTGTATACTACTACTTCTTTATATCCATTTCCATATGTGCATGTGTATTGGCCCCCAAGTTGATGAATGTTATATTTTCACCCCACTTTCTTATTTTTTTTATTCTGCTTTTCACTCGAATAATAATTCCATGTACATTCTATGTGATAAAGTATTTATGCTGTGTTTTGATTTGTTAAATATAATAATTATATATTTTGTATATCATACATATCATATTATATTCATTATCATACTTAGTATAACCATACTCACTATGATATAAGTATAATTACTATATTTAACATGATTAATGGATTTGGATAGAGATTTAAAAATGGAAAGAAAAAAAGTATGTGAAATATAAATAAAATAGGGGGAACTATTTGCAAGTAGGGAGTTGAAAAAAATTATCAATGTATGAGGGATACAAGTGTGTCTGTGATAGGGTCCAAATGAAAGACTATGGAAGTGCTTACACTCCTTCATGTATTGGTAATTATTTTTTCCTTCTCCCACCTATATATAGTTCTCCTAATAAAATATACAATAACCACATTTTACACACATTTTTTCTTTCTCTTTCTAAATCCCTACTCAGATTCATGAATCAAGCACAGCCACAACCTTAGTATAATCCACTTTCATATTTCTAAATTCTTTTGTTTGATTTCTCTCGTTGTTACTCTCTCCTTTGTTTTTTTTCTTTTCTTCTTGTGTTTTTATTCTCTTTTCCAACTCCATAGCAAAACAATTATATTATGATGATTATATTTTTATACCTAATTTTTTTAATAATATTATACATTAATATAATGAGTTCTATAATTCATATTTGTTGCTAATGCAATAATATTATTTTATTTGATAGACAAAATATGATAAAATCTTATATTCTCTTTTTCTTTTTCGTAAATTTTTTAATTTTTTTTATTTCTTGTATAGTGCTTACTGCTTACGTGAGTGATTTTTCAAAATAAAAAATGCAATTTGGTAGGTAAATAAAATTTTAATTTAAAATATAAATACATCTACATTAAATATGAATGTTTTTATTTTACATTTTGGCCCCCCAAGGATAGAATCATGGTTGTGTCCCTGAATATGTATGTGTGTGTAATTATATCAGTGATGTCATGTTAATTGGATTAGTTTCATCACACCATGCCATTATTAAATTGTTAGAGACTAGGGAAGTCAAATAATACACTAGAGGATTTGAGGGAGGTGGTTGGCTTGAGAATTTTAACATCTTGGTACAGGGGAACTTTTTTTTGGTCATTGTCTACCTCAAATTCTTCAACATCTATATCTTGGACCAATTAATTTGACGTTTCCAGCAATTGTTTTGAATTGAAAGATATAAAATTTTGGAAACTTGATAGAATCAAATTTCTCCAAAGTCAAAAGACCCCACATCTTTTCTCTCTTTTTTTTTTCTTTTCCATCAAATTGTTGTTGAATATGAAACCTTCGATTTTCTAGAAATAGTGCAGAGACTATCATGCTCACATTATATTATGGAATTCACTTTTGATGGGTTTGTAACTAAACTGTGACGAAGAGTATAAAATAGTCAAATAGCGTTTACTGAGGAGTCGACTGTTTCTCCATTGTATCTAGTTATGAGCAGAGCAATAGAGAATTCTTGATTTTTGAGAGGCTTCTAAGCCTGACTTTAACATTTAACCAACTAGGCCTTTCTCTCTAGTTCTACGATAACTGCCAATTGTTGTTCAATCTGTCTTCCATGCCTCATGGCATTTGTAGTCGCAAAAGAATTAGGAAACATGTTCATGTTGTTTGTTTCTCCTGCCAAGTCCCTCCTCCTCCTCCTCCTTCTCCGCCCCTCCTCCAGCCTCTCCCTCCTCCTCCTCCTTCTCTCTCACTTTTTCGAGCCAATTTCGAGCCAAAAATCTTGAGCTACCAATCGCGATCGTTTCTCCAAAGTCAAAAGACCCCACATCTTTTCTCAATTTTTTTTTTCCCATCAAATTATTGTTGAATATGAAACCTTCGATTTTCTAGAAATAGTGCAGAGACTATCATGCTCACATTATATTATGGAATTCACTTTTGATGGGTTTGTAACTAAACTGTGACGAAGAGTATAAAATAGTCAAATAGCGTTTACTGAGGAGTCGATTGTTTCTCCATTGTATTTAGTTATGAGCAGAGCAATAGAGAATTCTTGATTTTTGAGACGCTTCTAAGCCTGACTTCAACATTTAACCAACTGGGCCTCTCTCTAGTTCTACGATAACTGCTAGTTGTTGTTCAATCTGTCTTCCATGCCTCATGGCATTTGTAGTCGCAAAAGAATTAGGAAACATGTTCATGTTGTTTGTTTCTCCTGCCAGCATTTGAATCACATATTACATGAAATGACGATTTATTGGATTCCATTGAATGCACTAAACCCCATGATTGTTAGCTTTTTCGCTATTTTAGCATCTCCATCTTTGTCAACCTGGATCCATAGCTTCTGTCCTTGTTCCAAACTGTTAATAGATCCACGCTGGAAAGTACATTTGGCTAGTGTTTTCAATTGTAACATCATTCTTTCTCCCTCCAACCATTTCAAGCAACAACGTTCCATAACTATAAACATCTGACTTGTAGCCTTGTAGGATACTTTCCCAAGGTTCCTACATAACACTTTGGGTATAACCCATGGTCCCCTTAGTAGCAGTCATGGATACAACATGTGGGGACATAAATTTTGAATAACTACACATGGCCGGGGTGTCACCGAAGTGCCAGCCGAGGTGTCACGTGTCCTAACCATGACGCCGAGGTGATCTCGGAAAGGCCAAGGTTATCTCCGAAAATACCAAAATCTGAGATAAGCGGATAAGGGACAAGAGTCCTAGAATGGGAGAAGACTTCAGTTTGGGTAAAGATGAGACTCTTAGAGAGTTTATCCTAATTCTATTGGGAGTCCAAGGTTAACCGTAATCCTAAGTCCATTGGAGCTAGGCTTCTATTGGGACTAAGATTATGTTGGCTATAAAAGAGAGGCACCCTCATGGGTCTAACGTTTGTCTTTTATGCTTTTGATATTCTGTCTAGTGAGTTAAGCATTATTGGTTATCTTTGAGAGATATTGAGTACTGACTTGATCGTCAGAGTGCCCCCGGGTAGACGAGCCACCGCCGAAAACTCTTCTTTCTGTTATAGGTTGTTCGGGCTTAATCTATTATGCCGGTGTTTTCCAGTTGAGCACTAAGTTGGCAGTATGGTCACAAAATCACCCACACAATTTGGCGCCGTCTGTGGGAAAGAAAAGGAGAATAGATGGCCAACGACAGACCGAAAGAGAAGGTTGGGGACGACACCCCTACTGAGAGTGGGAAACATATTGACCTTGGCGTCGAAGAAGACAACTACAACGAAAAAACTCGTGATAAGAATCACGGAGAAGAGGACGTCGGCCAGGAGGGCGACGTGCCAAAGAAATCAGACCGAAGCAAGTATTATAACGAGGACGACCTCCAGCCACCGTTCCCATCACAAGATACGCCGATTCTAGCAGCCAAGAAAGATGCCCAGGCAGGGGAGCAGAACACAACTCCTACGACTCCTCAGCATGATAGGACCAAGGAACATTCTCACCGGCCTTCAAGGGAGGTCGGACGAGGAGAATCAAGAATGGGAGATTCACAGAGGACACATCGTACCAAGGAAGCTGACTCCAAAGAACATCGACATGTTCAGGGAAAGGACCTCTATTTCAACGCAACCAATGGAGGAAGGTCCAAAAGGACTCGCAATGACACAGGAAGTAGTGCACCAAAGAGGTTGAAATCCGGAGATAGCCAAGCTCCTAGACGAACCAAGGAGGATCTGAGAGATTACCTCCAGAGAAAGCGACAAGATGCTGAGGTGACCTCACCTGTCAAGCCGAGATAACACTGGATATGAGAAGACAAGAGCTCAGCCCAAGTAAGCCGATCCTGGATTCCAGATCTCGGATCTGAGATCCCAGAAGACAAGATCTCGGCCTAAGATGATTAAGTCCGAGAAGAGAAGAGCTTGTCGAAATCATTGTTTAACACTTGTTGAAATTTGTGGACAATTTACAAGTTGAAGTTAAACCGAAATCACTGTTTAACACTTGTTCAAATTTGTGGACAATTTACAAGTAGTTAAACCGAAATCATTGTTTAACACTTGTTGAAATTTGTGGA